AAATGAGGAAATTAATATATTGTTTATTGCCAGAGTTTTTACCAAGTCACTAGGAAAAAATTATGTAGAGTTTATAGGGGAAAAAATGAGTGCAAGGATGAGAATTCAAGATATCAATGTAAATGCATCATTGCTAAGAGTTTTATATAAAAGTAAATATATACTGATATGCACAGATATCTATAACCATGTCTCATGTATGTTTATATGAATGTATGCATATATTAAATATATTTTATTCCTTTTTAAATACACAATTGTATTTCCTAAGCCTAGTGAAATTGGTAAGGATAGCAACGGCAGTAGTAATTAGCTTACTTTGATCTCGGGCTTTGATTAGTTTCCCACTAAAATGAACAATATAACTCTCAAAAATAGCCTGAGCCAGAACTAAGATAAAAGTAGGAACAACACAAGTGTGTAAGATCTCATTACCTCAGAAACTTAGGAAATGCTGAAATGAACAATTAGGGTTTGTCACAGTTTCCACAGAAACCAACTTGAAGGAAGGCCTACTGAACGGTAAGTTTTCAGCACAGTAATTCATTTGTTGTAACAATTATAAGCCATTGGGGCTGGAGTGATAGCACAGCAGGTAGGGTAATATAAACCATTGAGAACTATAAATTCTGAAGTCCATAAGCATTCACTGGGCCAGTTAAGTTGGAAAGAGGTAGGGTCTTACAGTGGATTACCAGGTCTGACAATCACTGGTAAGACAAGGTTGAAGTTGGAATCAACCTTTCACAATCACCACAGGAAGGACTGAGTCAGAAGCAAAATCATCGAAATAAAACCCATGAAAATTTCATTGTAGGGATGAATACTTTTATAGTCCTATCTCAGAGACAGCTTATTTGTTATAAGTCAAGTCATTTTACAATGGAACAATGGGACAACTTTACCTGAACAGATATGTCACTCTGTGAATGAAGTACAGTCTACACCATTCTACATCTGAGAATGACCTGAATCTAATTACAAGGAAAAATCATAGGCAATCAAGTTCAGAAACAAATCAGTTGTAAACAAGTAGAGGTAAACTAACTGCTATAAAACTGTACACTGCAAAGAAAAACAATAATAGGCTGTGGTAATGTTGAAAATAAGGGAGGCTTAATGGGAAGATGGATCTTCTGCAATCTTCTATAAAGCCATAGCAGAGCAGGTGATAAACTTCCATGGGTCAAACTGAAATCTACATAGACTTTTTTTTTTGCTTTTTGGGTCACACCCAGAGATGCTCAGGGGTTACTCCTGGATCTACACTCAGGAATCACTCCTGGCAGTGCTCAAGGGACACTATGTGATGCTGGGAATTGAACCCGGGTTGGCCACATGCAAGGCAAACACCCTACCTGCTGTCACTCCAGTCTCTACATAAACTTTCATGTAAAAGCCAAACCAATCAATAAAATGTATAAAATGGGCTGCTTCTCCATCTTTGCAGGGCCTGGAGGTAGCAGAACTAATGTGGCAGACTTAATAAAAGGCCAGCAACTTCCTAAATTTTTCCAATAGCGAACCTGGGGCCAAGGATCAGAAGGAGAATGAGCAACTAGCAGTAAACATAGACATTATTTGAAGACATTGTTTCATAATGTTTGGCTTGAATCTGGATATGCAGATTGAAGATGTCTGTGATCAGTTCAAACTTTCATTGATTAGATTCCCTTTATATTAAAAGAATTATGACAACAAACTGAAATTATTAATACCCAATATGATGTACTGGGAAGAAGTCTGGGAAAAGAGAGCAGAAAGAAGGGAGATTCTACAAATGATGTAATTGACGTAATGTGAAATTAAAAATATGGGTCGCTTTTAGGTTAAAACTATCAGTGTTACATTTACTGAAATTGGTTGTTTTACAATGTTGTTTTACAATACATTGGTTTATTCTTGGGAATGCATATTGAAATACTTGGAGATAAGGCATGAAGTTGTACTTGGAGATAAGCCATGATTCTTGTACCTTTTCTTAAAGTGAGTCATTAAAAAAAGGTATCATGAAGACAGATCGCTAATAATGAATGAATTGCATAAAATATTAACAAAGTTATACTCGATAGCGATAGCACAGCGGGTAGGGCGTTCGCCTTATAAGCGGCCAACATGGCCGACCCGAGTTCGATTCCTCCGCCCCTCTCGGAGAGCCCGGCAAGCTACCGAGAGTATTCGATATGCCAGACACAGTAACAACAAAGTCTCCAATGGAGACGTTACTGGGCCCGCTCGAGCAAATCGACGATCAACGGAAGGACCTTTACCTTTACCTTTACCTATACTCGATAATGTATATACTCTTGATACAATTATTAACCGGACAAATTTTCTGTAGTTTCCAATTATTTCCAATGAAAAACAATAAAATATGGAAATATATATATATATTTGCTTTTGGGGTCACACCCAGATATTCTCAAGTGTTACTCCTGGCTCTGCACTCAGGAATTAATCCTGGAGGTGCTTTGGGGACCATATGAGATGCCAGGGATTGAACTCAGGACGGTGGTGTGCAAGGCAATTGCAATACTCAACTGCACTATTGCTCCAGGCCAAAAATATATTTTCTTATTCCCAGCTGATCACCTCATTTTTCTGTCCTATGTGACTACTTATTTTCATACAAAAACAGTTTCTTTAAAAATTTTCCTTGCTTTCCATCGTTTTTTCTCATATGAAAATTTTTTTCTTCTTAAAACATAGTTTTCTATTCCTTTTTAAGTTGGATTTTTATTTGGCCAAAAACATTTAACATGAGATTTACTCTAAAATTTTTACTTTTCAAGGATCTGTTTTCTACTTCATGAACAATAAAGACATTATGTTTTAATGCAGATGTCTAAAATTTATTCATTCTTATTTCTGAAATATAGTATAAATAGGAATCCCCTTCTTACACCTATCCAACTTTATCTCCACGTGCCTAGCACTGTCGCACTGTCCTCCCATTGTTCATCAATTTGCTCGAGCGGGCACCAGTAACGTCTCCATTGTGAGACTTGTTGTTCCTGGTTTTGGCGTATGGAATACATCACAGGTAGCTTGCCAGGCTTTGCCGTGTGGGCAGGATACTATCAGTAGCTTTCTGGGCTCTTTGAGAGGGTCAGAGGAACCGAACCTGGGCTGGCCGCATGCAAGGTAAACATCCTGCCCACTGTGCCACCACTCCACCCCAATATTTATTTAACATACACAAAATGAAATTCTTCATTTCCCACCCATATTTTCCTGTGCTTGACCTCAGCAAAGAGCAATATCATGAACCAGGAATTCTCGTAGAAAACTTAAGCAATGCTCAGGGATCACTCCTCCTGATACTTGGGGAAACAAGAGGTGGCAGGGTTCAAATTCGGTAGGCCGCATGCAAGGCAATCGCCCTACCCACTAGAGTATCACTTTGACCTAACATTTTGTTTATAATCACCGTGAGATACATAGTTACATGGTTGTTCATGATTGGGTTTCAGTCATATAAAATGTTCCAATACCCATCCCATCACCAGTGTATATGGCTCACAACCAATGTCCTCAGTTTCCCTCCTGCATCCCACCGCCCACCTGCCTCTCTTGCAGGCACTTTTCTTCTCTTTTCCATTACCTTTCTCTCCATACTTTAAACCAATGCAGGAAAATGGCAGGCTTCAAAGTTGAAGCATAAAAATCGGTCTTGGAGCCAGATACATAGTACAGAAAGTAAGGTGCTTGCCTTGCATGTGGCCAACCCAGGTTTGATCTGCAGGACCCCATATGGTCCCCAGACACCACCAAAAGTAACTCCTGACTGCAGAGCCTGAGCAACACTGGGTGTGACACAAATACAAAGTGCACTGGCGGAGGGATGGGTGTTTGATCATTGTGTTATTGTAACCTAAACATGAAAGCTTGTAACTATCTCATGGCGATTAAATTTTTAAAAAATTAGAGAGAGACAGAAAGAGCTACAGAGTCAGAGAGAGACAGAGAGAGAGAGAAACTGAGAGAGTGATCTACTCCAATATAAGATAAAAAAAATAATCAAAGTAAGGGAAGAGCAAATTTTCAAAGTAATTGGAAATGAATATTTTGTGTATAGACCTCAGTTCAAAAGGAAATGGAAGGTAGGGAAAAGAAGTGGTGGAGAGAAGAGGGACCCTGGTGGTGGGTATGGTGTTTTAATGGCGTATCCATGGAAAGTATCCCTCATTTTTACCAGCGAGTTGACATTTAACCTAATGATTTTTATGCTTTTTAAACATAATTTTCTACATAATCTTAAAACAGTTGCTAGAGGACTGGTAAATCTGTAACTCTAAAGGCTATAAAGTTACACTTCTTGCATTGATGGCAGTTTTACCACTTTGTTTTATCTTCATTTCTAATGTGTCAAGATAGAAGGGACAAGAAATTTCACTTTTATACTAATAAGTCTATTTTTGTTGTGAGGGATCACTAAAATATGGAAGCTTTACTTTTCTTGAAAATTAATTATTAATAGTCTTGAAAAGAGAAAACACTTGAAACAAGTTGCATTGGAAGAAAACCCAATGACATATCTATCCACATGAGAATCTAATGACTAATGAACATTTTGGAAGAGTACAGAATTGATTGGATTGAAGATTCAAAGAAAGTAACAGTTTCAATGGAGCACTGAAATGTCTATCTGTAGGATTGTTGCTTCATCAATCTTAGTCATTCTTTTCAACTCTGTCAAAAGTACATTAGCTCCCCTTAATGTGCAGGCATATTTCCAAAATCCCTAAGGTGACTGAAACTGAGAATAAAACTGAACCAGGAATATAATTGTTTTTTTCCATAAATTACACACTGATGAAAAATCTTTATTTACACGCTAAGAACAGAGATTTGAAACAACAGCAATAATAAAGCAATAATGCTATGACAACATGCTACATTAAATGTAATGTGAATGTAACCTTACTCACTCACTGTGCCTTAAAATTCTTATACTTTATTTTGAATTCTTTATTTTGAATTCCCAATACTCTGTGCAGCTACTTTTCAGTATGAGGTATAAATCTTTTCAGAGTGTCATGAAAAGATTGTTTTACTTGCTTATTTCTCAGGGTATAAATGAAAGGGTTCAATAAAGGGGCAATGGATGTAGTCAGCAAAGAAACTGCCTTATTCATAGCCATTTCATCCTCAGCTGAAGGTTTTATGTACATAAAAATGGCACTGCCATAGCTGAGGGAAACCACAAACATGTGAGAAGAACAAGTAGAGAAAGCTTTCTTCCTTTGCTGAACAGAGGGCAGTCTGAGAATCATCCGGATGATGCTGATGTAGGATACAGCCACACACACAAGGGTCAGGATGAAAGTCAGCACAGCACAGGCAACAACCAGTTGCTCTATGAACCAAGTATCTGAACAAGAATTACTGAGTATTGGAGAAGCATCACAGTAATAATGATCAATAACAGAACCACAGAACTCCAGATTTAGGGTCAAGCCAAGGGGTGGGGAAATAATCAATAAGCCAAATACCCAACAACAGATGATGAGATTTCTGCAGACTTTGCTGTTCATAATGGTCGCATAATGCAGGGGTTTGCAGATAGCTACATAGCGATCATAGGACATCGCAGCCAAGAGAAAAAATTCTGTAGCTCCAAAGAGGACAATAAAAAAGATTTGACTGAAACAGGCCTTGACAGAGATGGTCTTGTCACCACTTATAATGATGTGTAGGTAGGTGGGGACACAGGCAGTAGTGAATGAGAGTTCTAAGAAAGAGAAATTTTGAAGAAAAATATACATAGCTATTTTTAAATGAGAATCCACCAAGATAAGAACTATTATGATCAGATTCCCAAGCACACTTAACAAATATGTGATAAACAGAAAGATGAAAACCACAATCTCTAGTTGTGGGTCGTTTGTCAATCCCAATATGATAAATGTTGTGACAGAGGAATGGTTTCTCATCGCTGACTTCATGGTATTGCTCGATTTTCAAATAAAAGCATGGACCTTCCTTGCATCTGAGAAGTAATGTCAAAAGGTTAGATAATCATATACTAACATAAATAACAATGAAACCCACTTACATGCACACTATTCTTTCTTTAAATTTTTATAAAAATTGTTCTTTCTCTCATAATTGGGCTGGAACAGTAGCATAGAGGGTAAGGCATTTGCCTTACACACAACTGACCCTGGTTTGATTCCTCCACCCCTCTCAGATTGCCCAGCAAGCTACCAAGAGTATCTTGTCCACATGGCAAAGCCTAGAAAGCTCCCCTTGACGTATTTGATATGCCAAAAACAGTAACAACAAGTCTCACAATTTGTTGTAAGACATTACTGATACCTGCTTGAGCAAATCAATGAAAAATGGGAGGACAGTGCTACAGTGCTTTTATAAATAATGAATTGTTCTTTTCATAAAATGCCCTCAAATGAATGGCCATTAATAGTGAAATTGGAGTTAGTATCCATTTAATTCATCTCGCATCTACTACATGAACAATCTTAACATATCATTTAACAAATATACGTTTCTAATTTCCTAATATTCAAGCTGGAGCGATAGCACAGCGGTAGGGCGTTCGCCTTACACGCGGCCAACATGACCGACCCGAGTTCGATTCCTCCGCCCCTCTCGGAGAGCCCGGCAAGCTACCGAGAGTATTCGATATGCCAGACACAGTAACAACAAAGTCTCCAATGGAGACGTTACTGGGCCCGCTCGAGCAAATCGATGATCAACGGGAGGGCCTTTACCTTTACCTTTTAATATTCAAACTAAGTTAAGAGTACTATATCACAGAGCTATGTAAACCTTGACTAAGTTAATCGTCATTCTAAAGAAATAATGGTTTAACAGATGCCACTTTTCTTTTTGTGTTGTTCGCTTTGGGGCTCCACCTGGCAGGTGCTCAGGTCTTAATCCTAACCTTGTACTTGGGGATAACTTTTGGCAGGTCCCAGGTAACCATATGGGCTGCAGGGAATCAAACTCAGGTCATTGGCATGCAAGATAGGACTCTTACCCACAATCTCTCCAGCCCCACTATTTTATTTTATGAAGCCAATTTCCAATCATCCCAAGATGGCTTACCTAACAGGTACCATCTCTTCTTCTGAATTTTTTAAATCATTAATTACTTGCACATTTCCTGGTTATCAGCAGCAGCGTGCACACAAGCTCTGGTATTCCCTGTAGCATTCTCTAAATATTTCTGTACGATTGCCACTCTTAAACTTAAGTGACACAGTTTTGACCTTTTTAAACTTGTCATTATAACTATTCAGAAATGGAATCCATTTAAGTCAATAAATATGGAGGGGAGACCTAATACTGATAGCAATTTTTTAAAATCGACTTATTTGCATCTCAGGTGACTGCCGTAATTATCAGAGTTCAGGGGTGGAGGAGGAATAATCAACTACTTGAGGAAGAAATTGGAAAAAGTATTTTGTCTTTTAAAATGTTTTTATAGTAATACAAGTATCCATTATAAAACAGATTTAAAAGAGTCACCAAATCAACAGCTACCATTATGTAAATTCATCCATCACTCAGCTTTACAGATTTATGACTGTAGCACTGTCCTCCTGTAGTTCATTGATTTTCTTGAGCAGGCACCAATAGCGTCTCCATTGTGAGGCTTGTTACTGTTTTTGGCATATCAACTATGCCACGGGGAGCTTGCCAGGCTCTGCCATGGGGACGGGATACTCTCGGTAGCTTGCCGGACTCTCCGAGAGGGATGGAGGAATCGAACCCAGGTTGGCCATGTGCAAGGCAAACGCTCTACCCTCTGTGCTATCGCTCAAGACAACAAATTGATGAAAATTTCAAGTATACCCATTTTCAGTCTGAGAAGTCCCAGGTCTTCTCTGATTGCAGGGCGAAACCTCACCCCAGCCTCTACTTCCTGAACCCCTGGTAGCCATACACAAATCCCAAAGCTGCCATCATATAAATTGAGATAAACAGTTGAAAAGTTGCTCATGATTGGGTTTCAATCATATATGTTTCAACACCAGTCCTTCACCGGTGTACATTTCCCACTATCAAAGTAGCACACCAAATTAGATGTGAAAATAACACAGAAGCCAGCTAAACTCAATAAAGAAAATCACAGAAGACTCAACTAATAACAAACAGCTTAGTAGAACCTCAGAGGACTTAATGACTTCATGCTCAGATATAATAATTTTCACAAAAAATTTTACTGTAGTATTTTTTGATAATTCCTTTAGCTGTTTAGTTGCAACAAACGCTATACAATAAATTATTCTGTACCTGCTAAGGGGCCAGGCACAGAGTGGGGGGAGGTAGTCAGTGACATGGGAACATGGTGGACAAAAAATTCCTCCGATGTTGGGAATGGTGTTGAAACAATGAATGCCTACTCATAACAACTGTATTAGAATGACTTAGTAAACCATGCTGTTTAAATAGCACTGTAGCACTGTGTTCCCATTGTTCATCGATTTGCTTGAGCAGGCACCAGTAACGTCTCCATTGTGAGACTTATTACTGTTTTTGGCATATCAAATACATCAAGGGAAGATTGCCAGGCTCTGCCTTGTGGGCCATATACTCTCCGTAGCTTGCCAGGCTCTCCTAGAGGGATGGAGGAATCGAACCCCAGTGGGCCGCATGCAAGTCAAATGCCCTACCCACTGTGCTGTCACTCCAGCCGCTGTTTAAATAACAAAAAAAAAATGCCTCTCATAGACAGGTGATTGGGAAGCAAAACCTTTGGCAGATAGGTGAATGGGAAGCAAAACCTTAGGTTAGGGAGCATTAGTAGAGGGGATTTGTCAAGGTGAAGGGATTGGTGTTGAAACATTGTATACCCGAGGTTCAATTATGAATAACTTTGCTATTCATAAACATGTTGTAAAAAGAAAAAATCTACAGAAATGAATATAATTTGGTAGAGTTCTTATAGGAAACTAGAAAAATCAAACATAGGTTAAGGAAGATAAGAAAAAAAAACCTGAGCAGATTAACTAGAACTTCAGATATCAATGTAAATTCATGGTTTCTAAAATTTGTATATAGACAGATGATAAATAAAGGAAAGGAACTGCTAAGTATGTAATATTTGTATAATATATGATAGCTATCTGTCAAATATTTGTGTAATATACACAAAATGATATTCTCAGTTTCACCAATCTTTTTATTTTTCTTTTTCTCCCCCTGATCTCAGCAAATGGCAGTATTAAAAACTGTCACTGTCACTGTCCTCCCGTTGTTCATCGATTTGCTTGAGTGGGCCCAGTAACATCTTCATTTTGATACTTGTTGTTACTGTGTTTGGCATATCGAATACGTCATGGGGGGCTTGTCAGACTTTGTGGTGCAGGGGAGATACTCTCAGTAGCTTGCCAGGCTCTCCGAAAGGGACAGAGGAATCGAACCCAGGTTGGCCGAGTAGGCCACATGTATGGCAAACGCCCTACCACTGTGATATAGCTCCAGCTATATTTAATATTTTAATATATTTAATATTTTAATGGCGATATTAAAAAATTTAAAAAATTCAAGAAGATAACTTGAAATACACTGGTTTACCTTCCCTCATTCCCAAACAGTACAAGAGTAAATATAATCTTTTCTACATTAAAGTGCACCTTTAATCCAACAATGCATAAATATCAACACATTATACAAAATCCCCATCATCCCTCAACTGAGCCCTCTTCTTGCTCTCTTCCCCCACTCTACATTTTCCTTCATAGAACTTCGAAGAGTTTATAAAAAATAGTCAATGTGCCACCCCAATTAGAAATGCAATAACAGTTTGCTATCCTCCATAGAATAAAGTCTATATTTTAGTCTGTAAACACTACTAGTCATCTATTATTCTCACTTTATTTCATGATAAAACTTCTTTCCTGATCTTCCAGGAAACTCTGCATTGGACCTTTACACAGACTGAGCCATCTGCTTACTCTCCTTTGTCTGAAAACTCAGTACAGAAGAGTGCTTGATCCGTAGTCTCTTGCCACTGTAGGCTCAGCTCAGAGGAAACCTATTCATAAGCTATTCCCCTGATCACTCAGTTTTATGAAGCTTCCTACCATTAACCACTCAAATGTACAATAGTCTTTTAAAAAGACTTCCTAGTAATACAGCTTCAAATTATTGATATTTCCCTCTTGCCACCAGTCATCGTGTTGGTTCCACTTGGAACGTGGATGCAAAATCTTTAATTTTTGCCCCAGCCCCAACCATTGCTCATTAGCATGAGAGGTAGAGCTGAGTTTGAACTTTATGACCTCATTCCCACTATGCCAGTACTCTATCCTGGATTTATCCCTGGTTTTCTTTTTTGTGATTTTTCTTGAAGTAACATTTGTTTGAATGTACATGTTTGTATGCTTTATAATTATTATTATAGTGCCATTGCACAACCACCACCAAAGTACTAATATACTTCACCACAATCCAGTGGACCCATTTAGCCCACTTCTTCGAAACTTCAGTGCTAGGATCACCTAAGGGATTGTTTTTATTGAATATTGTCTATTCCCTTGTTTGTTTCTTTGTGTGCTACTTAGAAGTGAGATCACGTAGTATTTATCCCTACCCTTCTTATTTATTTAAATTGATCCTGTCCAGTTGCATGTTGTACCAAAAAATCACGATTTCCTTTTTTCTATAGTTGAATATGTTTCCTTGCATATATACCAGAATTTTTATATATAATCATCTGTTGTTGGCCATTTTAGTAGTTTCCAGATCTTGACTGGTTTTCATATCACTGCAATCAACTTATGTGTGCACGTCATGTCAAACAAGTTTGACATTATGGAATAGAATTGCTGGGTCATATGATAGCCCTACTTTTAGTTTTTTCAGAACTTCCATATTATTTGTCAAAGAGGTTAAACTCAGTTTGCATTTGCATTAGCAGTAAATAAGGTTTCCTTTATCTATGCATCCCTGCCAGCACTTATTT